TGAACTGCTTATTGTGAATTCCACGGAGGCTAGCCGCACTAATCAAGAAGTGGTAACTAACTAAATATGTTCACCGATGTACCTATGGGGCTGGGTATCGGGAACAAGAGTGGAATTCCACAGAAACCCTCATCACAAACCTTTTGAAAATTGTTTTAAGAAAACATTCTTCTACAAATTGTTCTTCCGAAGAGTTTCGGTTCAGCGAACCATTTGTTGGTAAACTCATGAAATCAATACAAAACGTTTTGCCGAATCATTGCCGATTTCAATATCATTAGGCCTTCTTATTGTTAATTTGTTATGCGGGAATTTTTATTATAGAAGGTAATTTTCTTCAAAGTAGGTATTTCTCTGCAAATAATGGAAATGTTTTTTAAATAATTTATTTTTAGGTACTTGCTGTAATACGTGAAATCTCTCTGAAAATTCGCATATTAAATAAATACTTGTATACAATTTCATGTTACTTTTCTACTACACGTAGTCGAAATTAATAAACACATGTACGTACACAATTATCCTGTAGCGTACATATTGTAGAGAATTCAATATCAGAAAATGTAGCCTCCAGCCAAACACGTAATGAGGATAGAACACCATTTTTACATTTATCTATAGCATAATAATTATGTGAAGTATTCTCATTCAATATTTTAATGTCTAGCCACATAAGATAATTATTAAACAGCAATTTGTAATAAAATTACTATGGAGTAATTAATAAATTATTAATAATATAATTCATGTTTATTCAATTTTAAGGTGGTAAATATTTTAGCCATATATTTTATATTATTTTGTCTATATATTTAAGAGATATTAGGTTTATGGTTAATATTTATTTAGTTTAACCTTAAAGATATAATTGTTACTTAAATTGTGTACAATAATTAACAATAATAAAAGAAAAAAACTATTACATTTATGGAAGTCTTCCTGACCTTTTTAATGAAATATAAATGCTTTCCATGAACAAAGAGGAAAGTTCAACCTTCGCAGGTATCTTTTATAAAATATCGCACCACTTTCATGTTATTTCTTATCTTTTATTTATTGACAAGGTTTGTTGTTCTTATTGGGACTTGTCAACCTAAATCATGCATTGCGTTTGATATGATAGGATTGGAGCACGCAAAACCAGCGCTGTCGCCAGGGTTATTTTGTGTAAAAATCTTCCACAACATGTTAGGTTACGACCAAGAAATATTCCGAACGTTAATAGACTTAGATTTTATTAACACCAAAATGGATACGATTATGAATTCATGGGCAAAAGCTAATAACGTGGCTCCTAACGCCTCGGTCATAAATATGCTCTGATGCTTATTAAACAACATCAATTTCCTTAGGGGATTATTCCATTACACTTTTTTGTTCATTTGTATAAAGTAGATTACTTAATTCCACAGATGTAGATAGAAGTAAAGGAATGTTTAATATAATATTCTCAAAGAGACTTCGCCAGTAAGTTTCTGTGTTGGTAGTCACATAGTTGTGCATTCTGAATGACGGAAAATACAGTTATTCGTGGCTACGTTGGAAATGGCGTATTTTTCTCCACATCATCTGAAAGTCAAGGTTATCATGTGGCTCATGGGTATTTAATATGGCATTACTTTTGGTCACCGTATATTTTATGATAATATCTTGGCATTCATATAGAATAACATTTACATGGAACTTTATAAATCTGTTTTGCCAATATCTGTCTTGAATTGACTTCCAGTCGCAGTATAGTTTTTTTATTTAAGTTTACAGTGTGGGTGCTGTGCTCAGTCATGTCTGTACGTTTAATTCCCGTAAACTGACGAACTGTAAACTTGTGTGATTTAATTAGTGCTTTAAGTGTTGTGCACCTGCGTGGGTCAGGATAAACTCTGCATTCCACAGCTTTGAGGTCGGGAGCAAAGATTCCTTTATTTTCTTTAGTTAACGAACCGTACTTCTACCATGTTGATATACATTTTACTACCTCTTCAATTTTGTTTGCAAAATATGAAATTCTTCAATGTTCAATATTAAAATTAAACGTTATTTATACTAAACGCGTAACGCTTAGGAACAAAAATAGCGGCAAATAAGGATGCTGTCACAGAACTCCATTTTAATGTGTTTAATTGACGTGTTCCTATACTTGATCGGATCTAAAAAAGTGAATCTAAAACACGAATTTCCAAGACGTAATCCTCTGCTAACAAACGGTGTTTCGTTCTGCATCATTAGCCGCCATCAAACCCGGCCCGATTGTCCACTATATTGATGGTAATAGTGACTATTTTTTACGCCGACACACGTCGGAATAGGGGGCAAAGTTTCCCGTTGAGAAGACAAAGTGCTAGATTTGTTTATGTTTGGAACTATCACTCTTTGTACGACCACTTCTCGGAGTTCTTTGATAGAGACATCACACAACTTTGACGACTTGAGGGTGGCAAGATCAAATGAGTGGAAATGACGTAGGCTATGAAGATACATGTTACATACTTGTTATATATGCTAGCATTTCCTTCTAACATATTACTGATACTTAAGTACTTGTAAAAGTCGCTTAGAGAGTGTCTACATTTATCACAGGAACAGTCTGTAGTCAAGAAACCCAGGTGAAGTTAATTAAATTACAACAACCGCAAAAGGTACTGGTAAATTGAGAGTACTTGTCTTTAAATACTCGTATAAAGGCCGCCAAAGAACTTCTAAATGGAATTGTTTCATAAAGATGTTTTTTTGTAAAATTATATTAAAAACCAAGCCCCCACGCTCTGCAGGGACCCCTTCTTGGAACTTATGAACCTTGGACGATTGTTGGTTTTCAAACAAAATTAATCTTAAAAATACTCTTAATTGATTGTGTTAAACCGATTTAACAAATTAATTAGATCTTTTGAAATTGCACGATAAAGAATTTAATTAAAGCATTTTTCCTCGAAATTAGAATTTTATTCCTTTTTCAAAACACTGATTAGAATGATAAATAATGGAAATACCTACGAATGTTTGCAAGACAGCGATTTTTCGTCAAAGTCATAGTCATAGTTTTGAAATGTCAAATAGAGTTCTATCAGTTATAGGTTCAGGTTCTAGCTCCAACATATGCCTAAATAGGGGAACAAATCCCGAGAAATCTAGCTTAAATAATGCACCAAGAAGGCACACAAACAATCAAATAGTCTGTTAACATTGTCAAATAGTGCAATAACATTAACGATAGTAAGAAAGAAGATTGCTCTTCCAAGTGTGTTTCAGTAACTTGCAAGGAACAATTACTAGATAATCACCACATTACACGAGCACTACGTTTAATTGTCAGTATTCTGAAGTAGTGTGAGCTGGAACTTCTAGAACACCTCTTGGCATCAGCTGAGGGCACGTACGAAACTAGTTTAGTCACTCAGGATTACTCAATAAACAAAGTTTGTCGCTAAGCCTTCTCAGATAACTTTGCTTGCGAGTGATACTCTACTACTTAGCATTGATTATAAATTAACTAACTCGATTATAGGTAATGCCAAACTTGGCTTGCTGTGCTTTTGTGAATTGGAATTACGGAGGTATTAAGCGTTTTAGGGTTTAAAGGTTTAAAACTATTGTCTAGGTTTATCCAAGAGAATTTTACAGTCACATTTCTTCTTTTAAAACGACTTTTTTAGTTGCAGTGCTTGTCTATTTGAGACAACCGATTTATAAAAATCATCATAATAACAACAGGCATCAGGCCTTTTGTAATTATAATTTTCGAAAAGCGAGCGAAAAAGGTATGTAGGAGTGGTAGCAATTGGCGTTCCATGGTCTCTGCCTACCCCATGGGAGACAGGCGTGAAGTTATATAAATGTAGTTGTCGAAAACTTCTAATAGGCTTAACGCATCCGCAATCCGAAATCCACGAGACAGAGCACTATGGTGTTAAAAAAAATAAAAATAAAAAGTACGTTTAGAAAGATGCTCCTAACTTTCGTCAAATATCTATTCGAGGAACTAATAAATAAATACGATAGATCCGTCAGTATATTGTAAGTTGTGTGTATTCAATGTTACCGACTCAGTAAGTTCCCCTAGAGTGGCTGGATTATGGTTTGTTTAGTGAGAGAGAACTTCATACATATTTATGTGGATATCGTAAATACATTGTTGGTTGTTAGGCTTAAATAGTCAGTCGTGTTGTGTTACATTACGCTCGATTACTTGTACATATGTTTGTTGATAGGTCATTTGTGTGTGTGGGTTTAATTTTTTATAGACTTTTGGTCGTGCTGGCCAAGGTACAACTGGTGGTTAATAGGTAGTTACTCTATGTTTCCCCTGCCATTAACTGATGTAGTTAAATTATTTGACTGCTGGAAAACGACTTTCCAACAACTTCAAACACAAATAACTTATTATTTAAGAGTTTCAATTTCTTCCAATAGATTCCGTACTAAATCCAATTTTCTAAATTACCACAGGAACTTCGACAGCAAACAAATACGACCATAAAATTCAACGACTCTAAATTCAAAGCAAGATCGAGTAGTTTGTAAACCAAGTAGTTTATAGTGCTTTACAAGTTGGTCCGAAACCCTGAGCCACTTATTGTGCAGGGAAGTAAATACGTCCTCCTTCCTCCTTCCTCCTTCAGACTTTGTATAATCGGAGAAAGTGGCGCCATCGCTGAATGGGGCGCGCTCCTTTATTTATGATTATTCAATTACCCAGCCGCTGCAGGCACGGACATAAATAACCAAACAACATTCGAATAACACACAATCGTCCGGAAAACCTTGTACCTAGAAATTTTTTCTTTATTACTGGCGCTGATATATATTTTTTGAGTGACAGCGGTTTCCCAAGGTTTTGTATTAGATTTCCTGAATGTATGCCACGCCGTGTGTGTTGTCCTGAAGTAAGCATTATAAATGACGTACAACCTTTCTTTTCTTTGCAGACAATGCACGTGGTTCACAGATAGTACAAGAATCTGTGGCTGACACACACACAAAATAGAAACGTAAAGGAGTCGAGTATGGACGGCGACGACGTGGCTTATTGCATGCCGGAAGGGCCGTTGTTCCAGCGAGCTTATGTTCGAGTCCATGGGTACATAGCACTGCTCATCTGTCTCTTGGGTAGCGCTGCCAACTCTGTTAACATTGCCGTGCTCAGTAGAAAAGAAATGATCTCATCGACGAATTCTATCCTGACCGGACTGGCAGTCGCCGACTTGCTCGTCATGATAGACTACATTCCCCTGGCGCTACACATCTATACAGATATATGTGCAGAACTCAATCGAAATTCGTATGCGTGGGCTGTTTATGTATATTTTCACTCCATATTCAGCCAAACATTTCATACGATATCTATTTGGTTGACGATCACGCTCGCTGTCTGGAGGTTCATAGCAATAAAATTTCCTCAAAAAAATAGGACGTTATGTAACAAGAAGAACACAAATATAGCTATAGCTGTGGCGTACGCCGTGTGTCCGATACTGTGTCTTCCCATTTATTTTGCTATGAAAATTCGAATAATTCCTTCAAAGCATGGACATGATAACACGACGCTGAACGATACAGACTTCATATTAAACGTTACGGAGAGTAAAGAGCCTGAGTACGCCATAGTAATGACTGAAAACGAAGAGCTGCTCACCGCTATCTTCTGGATTTACAGTGTATTTATAAAACTTATCCCATGTGTAGTGTTGTCCATACTAAGTGTGTTGCTCATTCTCAAAATGAAATCGAGTGATCGCAGAAGACAGAAGTTATTGAAAAAATCAGCAATAACAAGTAACGAGGTACGTGAAGTGTTTGGATTTTTTTTGGGTTTCGAATAAAGTACAATTGTGTTTCTAGTTAAAATAACTAGGTCATGCATGTATCGATTGTACGTTATAACTAGTCTGTTTGCGCACTATATGAGCAATTGCAATGGAAATCGGAAATTCTTCCATACTCCGCAGCACTCTGCATTATATAGTAGCTACCAATTTTGCATACGTGATGAAGTGTATTTTTCAGTTCCGATTTGGTTTTTTATCAGAGTGACTAGAGTTAAATTCAATGTAGGTACATTCATGGACAGTTAAGAGGTTTTCAAAGGACAAGCTTTTGTATTGAACAGACTTAATGTGCGTAATCATGAATGACGTACATGCGTGGACCATATAAAAGAAAATATTAGTGTTTTTCTTTTGAAACATGACACCGTCCACGTTGCTTTCATACATATTTGACAGTGGATCGGATTATAAGCTATTAGGTATCTTTTGTCATATCATTTAATAAAGTTGGTTAACAATGTTTTCCAACTAGTATTTTTGTGATAAGTATGTTAGTAAATTATGACTGTCCCAATCGAAAAATATATTCCATGATGAAATGTTATTTTGGTTAATGCAACTGCATGCAATCTATCGGCGTGTAGCTATTACAATGATTGAACGTTTCTTTGTTCAGGGTGAGAAAGCTCGGTTAAACGAGGACGGTGGGAAGCGAGGAGGTGGCGGTGGCGGCGGCCGGACGGATCGTACCACGAGGATGTTGGTTGCTCTACTCGGTCTCTTCCTCGCCACGGAACTACCACAAGCTATCTTCGGCCTACTCACCGCCATAGCTCCGCATCTCTTCAAAGTCTGTTACTACGCCTTCGGTGAGTCTCCGTAGTTCGTTACATTCCCGCCCGATCGTAACTTAATTGCTACGACCCAGATCCATCGATCTACGAGGTGTCAAAGTGTTGAATGGTAAAGCTGTTTATACATCAAGATCGCAACGTGTAGCGGAGAGCGGCGTATAATTGATGATATGGTTACAGGCATCTTGTGTGTGAATATTGTTGTCACGACCAGACATGTTTACTATGGACTGTGGGGGATTCTGATTCAATTTTCTAGATTTTCTGAGCTTTACAATGTTGGTGAGCTTTACAATCTATGTGAGAGTGATATACTACGTCATTCTCGTAAAACGTGAGGGTTGCCCCCGACAATTAAAGTAAAATATTTAGCCGTTAATAACTTGGCAAGTAGCCACACGAGGATCGTCTAATCTGTCCAGATGTGTCTGTGGAGTGTCGACCCTTACATTATGGACAGATAAACTCTGTTGGGTAAGGTTGGATGGCCATGTAACCTCTCCGTCTTATTTTATGGTCACTTGTGGTACGAGCAGACTACTCTTATGTTCTATATTATTAACGCAAATTGCAATATAAAACTCAATTTAGACAAGAAGTTTTTCCTGTGTTCCTTTATATTTTCACAAAAGGAATGTTTCATGTGGGTTGGAATCTAGCGCAAATAATGCCTTAGTAAGTCATGTAATTAGTAGCATCTGGTTGGACTACTGTTTGTAAAAGTAACGTCTGAGCATACTTTAGCTGGCTATAGCATTTTTTATACTTATTCACAGGAATTTGTAGCCTTGTCTACCATTGAAAATATCAAGATACCTGCGGTTATCTTTAAAATATGTAATTCTCTCTTTTGCAACATAGAAGTAAAGTAAAAATAAGTTGAAATTATATTTACCAGTTTCAGTATAGAAAATAAGACGTTGCTTTAGTAAATTACAAAATTAGCGGCTATTAGTGGCCTGTCTCGCGTCCTGTCGGGGAAGATGTCTCGTACCGTTTAGGTACTGTCAGTCACTGTTAACGAAACCGTAGTTCGGGTCACGCTACTATAATTAATTCCATGATACGAGTACTTTCTTATATTCATATGTTCCTAACATTTCTTTTATCTCAGCCCAAAATCTTAGTTGTTTGTAACAAAATGAAAAATGAGCATTTGCTCCTAATGATGTTTGTAGCCAATTAGCGCTATGTGAAAGTAAAATTGTTTGGTTTGTCGACTAGACTAAACTACATTAGACTTTCAAATCATCACGGTCATCAGATGTTCGAATCGACAAATTGTTTGATATTTTGTAGTTACTTGCAACACAGTGTCATTTCTATAAAATTGTATTGTGATTGATAACATCATACATCTAAAATTTACAAATACTGTCGTTTTGTAATAAAATTTAACATTAAAAAGCTAACTTTTTAAGTGAAAAACTCAAAATTAGAGTATTCAAAGTAGGTACATGAAATGTAATTAAAATTACAAAACTCATTAGCGTAATAAAAGTGCTGTCAGTAAAATTAATTAGAGATTTAGTTTTGAGTAATAAATATAAATTATTTTTACCAGAAAGTGAGTTTTTAAGAACCGTTTACAACTTTAATGGATAAGCTGAAAAGCTTAAAAATACCTAACAACGATTGTGAATGTAAATAGCTAAATAATTCATGTTAATGTGCCAAAAAGCGGTAGTATTTATTACTTATTTGAAAATCTTCGCATTATCTGGTAACAAAGCTGTGTTTACAAATTCAATGTGCCGAGAGGAAAAAGATTAAGCCTCAAAGTAATTTATGATGCAAAAGGTCCATTTGTTTAAAATTGTACGTGTTGGTATCTTATGGGTTACCGCAGTACCCTGGTTTAAACACTTTTTTTTAAGGGGGGAAAATCATTCAATGACTTCTCCAGCTTGGGTGAGGCGGGAGGGAGTGTCAGACTCTTACTGACTAAAAACCACCCGGTAACCCGTTAGGTTCTTCGCGGCTCCGTATCGGCATCAGCCCTATTGGGCCCCATCCTTGGCGGTCTGATGGTTTTTGAGGCACGCGCGGATCGCGACGCGCCGTATGCTCGGGTTGTTCAGTATTGTCATAGACGAAGGATTTGAATGTTATAACGAACAATGTTCTTTTCTATGTGAATAAATCAAATGTACCATCACTATGAATGCTATTTTTGGTAGGTGCTATGGGTAATCGGGCATCGCAGTTAGGTAACTAAAAATGTTTGGGTGGCTGGTTGTATTTTGAGACCATTTCTAGACCCATTAGGCACTATTAGTCAAAGCGACTACAAAAAATACTATTTGAGATATTAACACAATGAAGCTGAAGATCCTATAGATTGTTTGGGGGCGTATTCTCTCTGGAAGTGACCGGATTTGAAATAATATTTTTGCATCTCTGGTCCTATTGTTGAGGAAGATTAAAATCTATCTAACAGTACGATAGACATAGTATACGATGGCTATAGAATAATACCTATTCTATGAACATAGTTTGAGAGAAATCTAGATAGAATTTAGAAGTTATATGTTATTTGTAGTTAGACCAAATTATATTCAAACTTGCTAATAACAGGGGCGTGCCTCGGACGGCGGTGCTAATCAGACTGTTTCAGAACAATTTGAATAATATGGTCTATGTGTATGTACATATAGCTAATTCAAACGATGACTACTGCGCTTTGAAACTTTACTCGATGAAGCGTTGATTTTGACTGCTGTGTAGCATGTCGCGTTGAATAAATTGTCAATGGATTTTTGCAATTAGCATTAAAAGTAACAATTTGGTCCAGATTGGTCGAACATCAATGATAGTTTTAATTATTAATCTGACACACCGATAGTGGGTTAATAAATGTACTGTGGTGTTGGGTTGGCCAGTTGTTTTATTAATGATATTGATAAACAACTGCATCTGGTTCTGAGGGCTGATCTCAAAATTTGTTATGAAAAATTTATAAAGAATTGACCTTGACTTTGAAGTATTTACGTAATCATTATTGCTATATTTATAAATAGCAATAAGGTTTCCTAATTAAAATTTGGGTAAACGTTTCCGCACTCTGATCATGTAACGAAATCTATAGGCTTGTACTGCACGCCCACGTATTTTATGGGGCAATTATTTACCCAGAATATTTTCCATTTTTCCATTGGAAAGTTAATAATATTATGTTTCGACATTCAACGGAGCTCAGCCATTTTACAGCTTCATCAATTTAAGTTCCTCCTATAGTAACTACGCTCGTCAAAGTAGGTCTATAAATGATCACATTTTCTATAATACAATATAGAATTAACTAAAAATCACGAGAATATACTGAGAAATGTTGTACTAGTTTCGAGCCACAGAAGGGCAAGAGCTCGGTACTCATGAGGAAGACCTCATGAGTAGCGAGCGCGGTCATAGTAGAACTTTGTCACTATATTCACGTGAGTAAGTAACTCGCAATTTTTAGATAATTTGTTATGTCTCACGATTGTTATTATGAAAAATATGGAATATCCCAATGATTCCATTCCATTCATTAAAAAACTGATGGTTAACTTAATAAATAAATAAATTCCATGTCTATTTTACGAACGTGAAGAAAATTGACAGTAGATTCTAAAATCTGGTTGACTACTAGTATTATAATTAAATTAAGGTACATAAATGCAAGTCTCTATTTGCAGCCAAAAGGAATACAAGTGTGAAGTTACGTTGAAACTAAACGAAGAACAATTTTACTTACACAGTCACACGTACCTATTTGTTGGACTTTGTACAATAAAATGGAATTGTGAATAAATAACTATGAATTCTTGGAATAATGCATATTGTACAGTGTCATTTTGCTTCAGACAAGTAATAAATTAAACGTAACATTATTTCGATTCCAAATGTTTTATATAACTGTTTGTATCTGGTTATTATTATGTAACTAAACAGACATTTAAGATTACCCACAATTTACGCAACTTCTTGGTATATGTTTATCGCTATGGTAATCATGTAATAATATTCGCCCGAAAAGTAAATAGCTCCGAATCAGCTTTGTACAATCATTGATTCGAATAATGACCTACTTATATCACTGTTTATTAGTAATTGGTACGGTTTATACGCACTGTGGTAATGAAGGTTAAACGCCGAATATATTATGACCTTATTAAATTGGCAATTAATTATTGCTATAATCCTTTTAGCTGTTTGGTTGTACTGATCAATCCTCAAGCGGTCACTGTTGTCGCGGAGAACCTAACGGGTTACCGGGGCTCCGGCTCGAAGCGCAGGAGAAGGAACAGGGTCGTTTTTAGACAGTAAGAGTCTGACACTCCCTCCCGCGTCACCCAGGCGGGAGCAGTCATTCGATGATTTTCCCCCCTAAAAAAAAGTGGTCACCGGTGACCGCTCTCCACTAACTCCATTATAGACCTTATTTCCTATGTTTAGAGACAACTTTTGTATGAACAAATTTTGGTGAGTTATATCAGGTTTATGAATTTAATTCTCAGCCATCTAGGTGGTCGACAAGTAGCAATAATTAAGTTAGCTCTTCTTTATCTTGGCTGTTTTCTAACTGTATTGTCGGTTTTGAATTGCTCTGGCATCCTCAATTAGATTCGGTTGAATTTAAAAAATGTACGTTGATTTCATTTCCGACTAATAGGGAATTGTAGTTGGTGAAAAATGTGATTGTGAACTCTGACTCCGAACCAAAGAATTTCGTGAAAATCTGTACAGTAGTGGCAGTTATTACCTATATTTATGACATCCAAGTAGCTTTCATAGTCCAATCCATTTGGGCTATTAATATAAGATGTTTATGACTGTAATCATGCTAAGCGTCAGAACAAATTAGCCAGAAACATTTTCATTCTGATATTACTCTCGTAAAGTTTAAAACTTACTGAGCCGAAACATATTTGCCTTGACATTACGACGGGCGTTGAAGCTAATTAATTAAATATATACCTTCGGTGTATGTGCGTGGCCTTTTATAATTTTAAGTGCTGTTAATACAGTGATTC